ATTATACTTTACATGCTATTTTATTTTGTTGTTGTTGTTGTTGTTGTTGTTAACCCTCACCTAAGGATATTTTTCCACTGACTTTTAGATAGAGTAGAAGGGACGGGGGGGGGGGGGAGAGAGAGAGAAACATCGATATGAGAGCGACACATCCACTGGTTGCTTCCCGAATGACCCCAACTGTGGCCAGGATCAAACCTGAAACCCAGGAAAGCGTCTTGACTGGGAATCGAATCTATGACCCTTCAGTCTGTGGGTAGACACACTAACCACTGAGCCAAACTGGCCAGGGCTACATACTATTTTATAACCTCCTTTTTTATTTAACAATATATACCATAATCATTTTTCCATGTCAATAAATGTACCTCTACATTCCTGCTATTTATTTATTTATTTATTTATTTATTTATTTATTTTAAATCCTCATCTGAGGACATTTTTCCATTTTTTGTACAGACAGAGTAGGAGGGAGAGAGAGGAAGAGAGAGAGAGGGAAACATCGATGTGAAAGGGACACATCGAGTGGCTGCCACCCGCATGACCAACCAGGGCCGGGGACAAACTGCAACCGAGGTACGTGCCCTTAGCGGGAACCGAACCCGGGTCTCTCCGGACCGCAGGCGGACGCTCTAACCGCTGAGCCAAACTGGCCAGGGCCATTCCTGCTATTTATAAGCAACGGAACCGAACCCGGGTCTCTCCGGACCGCAGGCGGACGCTCTAACCGCTGAGCCAAACTGGCCAGGGCCATTCCTGCTATTTATAAGCAACCCAGTCTATGGTAAATCTTAATGACTGATTAATATTCCATAGTGTGAATAGATCTCTTATGTGAAGATTGGTTGGTATCTACTTTTCCTAGAAGAATTACTTTTTTTTTTTTTTTTTATCCTCACACGAGGACATTTTCCCATTTTTTTGTTCAGATAGAGTGGGAGGGAGAGAGAGGAACAGAGAGAGAGAGAGAAACATCAATGTGAAAGGAACACATCGAGTGGCTGCCACCCGCATGACCAACCAGGGCCGGGGACAAACTGCAATCGAGGTACGCGCCCTTAGCGGGAACTGAACCCAGGTCTCTCAGGACCGCAGGTCGACGCTCTAACCACTGAGCCAAACCGGCCAGGGCCTAGAAGAATTACTTTTTTTTTTTTTTTTTTTCCTCACCCGAGGATATTTTTTCATTTTTTGTACAGATAGAGCGGGAGGGAGAGAGAGGAACAGAGAGAGAGAGAAACATCGATGTGAAGGGACACATCGAGTGGCCGCCACCCGCACGACCAACCAGGGCCGGGGACAAACTGCAACCGAAGTACGTGCCCTTAGCGGGAACTGAACCCAGGTCTCTCAGGACCGCAGGTCGATGCTCTAACCGCTGAGCCAAACCGGCCAGGGCCTAGAAGAATTACTTTTAAACACTAAAACATTTAAAGTGTCTCAGTCTTCATTAAATCTTTAATGAAGTCATCAAAATGGTTTCACATTGTATACATATATTAGTCATTATGTTGTACACCTGAAACTAACATGTCAATTATATATCAATAAAAAAGATAAAATATATGATAAAAATATGAAAATGTAAAAATGGAATAATTTTAAAATTTATTTAATAAATGTAATAAAGTAAAAACTTTTTAAAAGTTTAAGCTGCATTCCTTTAAGAGCAAAGAAATGACAAAGTGGTGTTGCAGAAGTGAGTTCTGTTGCAGAAAAAATTAATGCTCTGATGCAAAGGCAAACAGATACTGGGCCAAATTCAAGGTATAAAACTTGAAGGCATTTGTGTTTGGATTACTTTGAAGCTGAGGGCATGACTCTCTTAGCCAAATAGTTATGTCTTCTCAGCCAGATTTTTCAGCTAATCTCATTTCACAGATAAGCAGGGCTTCCTCTTTAAATTCGACAGAGTAACAAACGTTTATTTATTTTCTGAAGAGATTGTAGGTACTTGAAAATCATAAGGATAAGAAGAAGAATTTACATTGTCTACCCAATAATTATACTCTTAGCCTTTGGTTTTGCCCAAGTTAAATTGTGCTCCTGGGTGTGTGTGTGTGTGCGTGTGTGTGTGTTAAATAATGAAATATTGGAAATATAAATTATTTATTTGTTTATAGTTTTGTTTCATTACCTGAATTGATGAGAAGAACATTTAGACAATTAATGATATAGTCCTTTATTTAACAGCGCTATGGTCTGAATGTTTGTGTCTCTCCCAAATTCAATATTGAAATCCTAACTTCTAAAGGCCATGGTATTAGTAGGTGGAGCCTTTGGGAGGTACTTAAGTCTCGAGGGTGGAGCTCTCATAAATAGAACCTTTTAAAAGAGGCTCCAGAGAGAGCCCTTCCCTTCTCTACCATGTGAAGTCACCTGGAGAAGTCCTCAATCTGGAAGGCTCTCACCTGGCCATGTTGGCACCCTGATTAGACTTCCAGCCTCCAAAACTGTGAGCTAAATTTCTGCTATTTATAAGCAACCCAGGTATTTTCTTGCAACAGCTCAAACGGATTAAGACAAGGTAAATGAATAAGATTTTTCAATATCTTTAATTTTACTAATATTTTAACAGATAAACATAATAAAATCAAGGTATACTCTTCCTCCCCCATTTTTTTCTTTTCTTTCTTAAAAAAAATTTTTTTTTCTTTATTGATTTTAGGGAGAGAGAAAGGTAGAGGGAGAGAGAGATAGAAACATCGATGAGGGAGAACATCTATTGGCCGCCTCCTGCATAGGGATTTGGCCCACAATCCCGGCATGTGCCCTGACCGGGAATTGACTGGTGACTTTTTGGTGCATGGATCAATGCTCAACCACTGAGCCACGCAGGCCAGCCATTTTTCCTTTTCTTACATAGAAGGATAAAATGCATTTTGCCTTCCTACATATCCTGTTTTATTAATATGCTTCTATAAAAGGGAAATGTAGTAAACATAATTATTTCTAAACTCTAAATTCAGGACAGTATTTCCTATGCTGAGTAAGGAGGAGTATATTCTTTGAACCAAAAAATTAAAATTTCCATTTCGAGTCAAATTATAAAGCAAACCAACAATTATAAGAAAAAATATGCTAGGTCACCTTAAAGACAAAGTATACTTAGTCTGTCAATCTTTGTAACTTGACTGAGGTTATTTACATAACTAAATAAAATATGCAAGTTGAGGGTAGTCATCTAATTGAAGTTTGAAAATGGAAAGTTCTCAGTGCAAACTTTGTCTTCTTTCCACAAGTATTTATTGAACTATCCTATATAGTGAGAAAAACACCGAAGCTAAACAATTTGCTCAGCTAGTGAAGAGCACATCTAGGATTCAAATCCACTTCACTAAAAATGTTGCCTGGCTCCATTTAATTAATTCACTTAGCACATGTTTATTAAATACCTCTTGTGTGCAAGGCATTTTACCAGGGCGCAGTGGTGGGATATACTGTATGATGAATCAGACATTTGTGGAGTAGTGGAAAGAGACGTACTTTGACATCATACAGACTGGTCTGAATCCAACTTCTTGGGTAAATTACTCTTTTTAAAAGCAGTTTTTAAGTCAGTCAAGTGAGGTGATTATTGCGGGGGTAGGGGGTGAGCAGGGAGAAACTGACTAGCACACTAAGAGGTGCTCAATTAATTTATTTTCCTCCCTGGCCCAGCTCCACTTTGAGGAGTTTTCTAGGAGGTAAGGGATCGGATAAATCCTCACGGAATGAGGAAGAATGCGATTTTAGTTATGAGATAGGTTCTTGATTTGGACTTGTTGCGAGTAAACCTGTGAGGACTGAGTAGATCTTGTCCATCTGAGGTGACATGGAGGGAAAAAATGAGAAGCTGTAAACGTCAGGTTGCCCGTCTGCTTGCACAATCTCCTTCAGCTTAGTGTCAGTTCCTACAAACATAATGTTATGACAATAGCCTGAAATCAAGACGTCTCAGAGGTGATAAAGACGTCTATAGCAGCACTGAGGAAGAAACAGATTTTCCTTGGGGGCAGCTCAACTCTAAAATTACATGAAAACAGGCAGATCTTAGACTATACAATATCCTTAAACATTTCAAAGGAAAAAAAAGCATATTTAAAATAAATTCACAACGTCAATTGTGATGCTAATTTTAGCAACGCTTTAGAGTGAGACCCAAGCCCTCAGAAAAACACTGAGGAAGCGAGATTAGAGTTCTTGCAGAGCTACTGTTTTCCAGAATCAGTCCGCCACAATTTTTGCTTATAACGTAGAAGCCTACGGAAAGTCTTATCCTGGCTTTTTAAAGAACACGCAACTAGGAGATATTCAGGAGAAGAACGCGGATGCCGCAGTTATCAGAGTGCGGCTTGTCCCTCCCACATGCTAGACTTCGGGCATCTCGCCCCTCCTCCCTCTGAATTCTGGGGACGATTCTAACGCCCTATGGAGCCGTCCCTAGTGACGTCACTAGCGCGATTCCAGTCTGTGGCCAATCACGCGGCCGGATTCCGGGGAAAGCCCGGGGCGGTGACGGCAGCCTGTGCGCGTGCGCGAGGTCTCCGCGTGGCTATATAAACATGGCTGGCGTGGTCGCGCGGCGGGGCTCTGCTGGGCGTGCGTAGGGGGCTTTGGGTCGCTCGGGTGTGTGGTTTTTGAAATTTCTGGCGGGGAAGTCGCGGCCCACAGTTAGGCCCTGAGGTGAGAGAAAAAAGTGACGCCCTTCCGGGAGCCTCACAGACCAGCTCCAGTGTGGTGGGACCGAGGCTGAGGCGGCGCACGTGGGAGCGCCGCTGAGGAAGCGGCAGAGCAGATTTTGCTGCCGGCGGGGCCACGCGGACGGGAGGGAGGTCCCGGGCGCGCGTGTCCCGCTTCCCAGCCGGTGCCTGTCGACTTCTGTGTCGCGGCCCCAGCGCCTCTTCCTAGAGATGCTGTGGAGCCGGAACTTCACTGGAGTCGGCTACCGCCTGACAAGCGTCCGCTCGCCTGTGCTCCCGGAACGGCAGCGCCGCAGCTGCCGCTGATCCACCTGGGCGATGCCCGCGGGCCTCACGGAGCCGGCCGGCGCCGCTCCCCTCTCCGGTGTGAGCGCCTCCGGGACCGTGACCAGGGCCCCTGCCGGCCCTCCGCCGGCGCGGGTGGAGAGCACTTCCGTGACCCTGGGCGCCGTGACTAAGGCTCCTGTCAATGTCTGCGTGGAGTCCACGGCGTCCCAGCCCCTGCGGTCCCCTGTGGGGACCCTGGTGACCAAAGTGGCTCCTGTCAGTGCTCCTCCTAAACTCAGCAGCGGCCTTGGGCTGCCTGCTCCTCAGATGGTCGCCGTGAAAGCCCCCAACACCACAACAATCCAGTTGCCTGCTAATTTTCAGCTTCCTCCAGGTATGTGGATCACCTTTTCCAGTGTGTCCACCGTCCAGCCGGCGGTGACACGGCAAACGTCAGAGCCCCGGGTTGCACCTTCTTGCCGGTAGCTTAACACACAGCACCCAACCTCAGCCGAGAGAGCCTTGCAGTCCTGACTTGGTGGGACCGCGGTTTGGCTTTACAGTTCATGGAGCCTCCTTGAGTCCTTCCTGCGTAGTTTTTCTTTCCATATTTAAGAAGAGAGTTTCCAGCCAAGTGACCCAGGACCAGCTGGAGCAGCATATTCTGGAGAGCCTTGGAGGCACCGGCTCCTACTTGAGGAAGTATAGCTAAGTTTCTTTTTATATGGAGAAAGGATCCGTTTATAGATCCACACACATGAGGATGGTAACTGAAAGTGCATTTAAATGGTTCGTGGGTGTTAAGACGGGGAGAGGATTTTAAGTTTGAGCAAGTCAGAAATTGTAATTGAAGCAAGTTTACTGCTTTATAGTACCAGAAAGGAATAATGCTGCTTTGTGCAGAACCTTTGGGTGAATGATGATTGTAACTTTTGGTTGGAAGACTCCCTCTGCCAGGGAGCAAATGCCAGAGTTGAAAAATAGGTCAGAACAATGTGATTGTGGTATTTGAAGCAAGCTGTGAATGCTACAGTTTATGAGTATGTGACTTCTTTTTATCCTAGGGTTTACTCTGTGGGGCTGTTACGATTTATGCAGAGATTTTGCTCTGTGATCATTTACATATTATACATATGATAAGGGATATTTGAGTGTTTACTTGCTTTCCTCAACTGAAAATCTCTTGGAATTTCAGCCGAGGTATAAAGCACATCTCACATTCTTTGGAATGAATTCTACTCAGTGATGGGTCTTGTGTTAATTTTGCTCAGCACTAAATGGAACTCTGACAGGCCAAGATGGTAAAGAAGAAGTCAGAGCATTTGATTTAAAGATGTCAGTATTTCCTAGAAAAAGGATGGCGTCTTTTTTGTAGCTAATGTTCTGTTTGGTCGTGAACATTGTGGAAAGATTATGTTTTTCACTTCTGATAAAGTTCTGTTTCAGTTTTGTATGGTACACAGGTACATACACTTGTTTAGCTGTGTGCATCATTGGATACGTTTTCTGCCAATTCTAAGTTATCCTGCATGCATTCTTATAAACTAGTTATGAATGTGTTTGAATGAAATCACCCCATAATTTGTTAAAACTAAATGGCTGTCTAGTCAGTGAAGTTTAGAAGCAATTAAAAAAAAAAAAAGTATTAAAATGGGAGAACTTTCAAGAGTGAAAACTTGCCCACGCCGGTTTGGCTAAGCGGTTAGAGCATCGGCCCGCGGTCCAGAGAGACCCGGGTTCGGTTTCTGCTAAGGGCACATACCTTGGCTGCAGTTTGACCCTGGCCCCCTTTGGGGTTTTGCGGGAGGCGGCCAATTGATGTGTCCCTTTCATGTCGATGTTTCCCTCTCCCCCCCCCCTTCCACTCTATCTGAACAGAAATGGAAAAATGTCTTTGGGTGAGGATAAAAAAAAAAAGAGTGAAAACTTGCTGGAAAGTGGGAACTGATCACTTATAGAGGGTATACTGGTCACCTACTGAGGGCTAGGCACTTTTTATTTATTTATTTAGTATTTTTATTTTTTTAGAGAGAGATGAAGGGAGAGAGGGATAGTAACATCGATGTGAGAGAGAAACATCTATCAGCTGCTTCCTGCACCCCCCCTACTGGGGATGGAGCCTGCAACCTGGGCATGTACCCTGACCAGGGATCAAACCCGGACCTCTCAGTCTATAGGACCATGCTCAATCCACTGAGCCACACCGGCTGGGTAGGCTAGGTACTTTTTATACATTATTTATATATTTTTTGTTTGTTGGTAATAATAGGTAGGTAGCAAATAACCATTCTCTAAGGGTAATTTGCCCAATGCAAAACTCCTAGGTGTTACATAGCAAAACCAAACTGAAACTTGCCAGAGCTAGAGAGCAGTAAACTAGGGCCACAGCCTAAGTATGCACGACACTAACACATTTTATGCTGTTGACCATGGAGTAACTCTCATAAAAGTCAGGAGATAAATTGCCTTTAGGAATCATTAGTTACAGAGGAGGTGGGCAGGTGCTTTTAAGGAGCAGCTCTTGGGAATTTTTGCTAGGTATGGCAGAAGACCATACTAACATTTGTGTTCTCATTGGTGCAGAATAAGATAACCAGTAGTTGAAGAATGAAATGGAAACACTGATTAACATTTTTAAAAGGTTTTGATTCTTGTACCATTTCTTTTATATACTAAACAATAGCAATTGATTACTAAAGGATGCTTTCTTTAATTATATAGAAGTCTTATACTTTAAGTATAGTATAGTATTTGATTTCTCTTCACTTCAGAATTTCCTCTGTGAACAAAACTGGTTTAAGAAATATATAAACATGGAGAGATCCAGGATGGCTGCAGATTAGGTGTAAGCTACTCACCTTTTCTCAGGACCAAATTGGAATTACAACTAAAGTATAGAAAAGTCTTTCTAAATAACCAACTGAAGAGAAGCTAGAGAGATGCCTTATAACCAAGGACTTTTAGAGGAGTCCTCATTGAGACTGTGTTATTTACTGTAGCCAAGATTTGGAAGCAGCCCAAGTGTCCATCAGTAGATGAGTGGATAAAACAGCTATGGTACATTTACACAATGAAATACTACTTGGCCATAAAAAGGTAGAAAATATTGCCCTTTGTGACTGCATGAATAGACCTGGAGAACATTATGCTAAGTGCAAGAAGGCAGTCAGAGAAAGACAAATACCATATGATTTCACTCATGTGGACTCTAATGAACAAACTTAATTACCAAGGAAAATAGAGACAGATTCATAGAGAGCAGGCAGACAGCTCTTGTGGTGGGGGTGTTTGGGGGTGGTGGTGAGGGGATTGAGCAAAAAAGGGAGAAAATATATATAACTATGCACCACAGGTTTTTATAGGTTAACAGGTTGGAAATAAAAAGGAGGGGGCATTGGGAAGAAATGAAAGAAACTATAGTGAAGCTCTGAAAATCATTCTTCTATTGAATGCTTTTGGTAACCTCTTCAGTCTTATTTTTTGTGAACATGTAGGCTTTGAGGGCAGGCCGTGGCTCTTTTTTGGTATTCTGTGCCTCTCCTTTCTATCACTTGTTTGAGAGTGATGAGCAAGGACTTGTTTATTTCTTTATGTTGTGAACTGTGGTAAATCCTGCTTAACAGTCACACCGTACAGAAGTTTGTGAAAGTTACTTGTGAGACCATTGAGGTCCTTTTTCATCAATTTCTTCATGCTGAGATGTAGCATAGGATTTGCTTTTGCTTTCTCAAATTCCTGAACCAGTTCCTGGATAAGCTAGTGGTTCTTGTTTCCACCTGGCTTTATCAAAGGGATATTACATGGTTATCAGCTTCCACAGTTGTCACAGTGCTTCTGGATTTCATGAAATGAGAGTCTCTTCTTTTCAGTACTCATCATGTGTGCCATCGGCTCTTTGGATTTCAAAGGCTGTGGAGTCAGCTTAACCCTGATAATGTCAATGACATTATTCAGTCTTTGGATAGTCATCCTGGGGGAGAAAGTGTTGGTACTCCATTTGAGCAGCTCTTCTTCAAGGCTAGATTAGGTTCTTCTATTTTGTGTTCCCACTTGCACTCTGTACCTTCACCACCATACTACTCACTTCAGTTTTATTTGCTTTCTTTTTTTATTGTAAGTTCCACATAGATAGGGATTCTATCTTGCTGATTTTGTTATCCCCAGGACCTGGTATGTTTCTGGGCACAAGGGAAGACACTTAAGTATTCAAATGCATGCTTGAGTATATGTGGAGAGAGTAGGGGGCAATCGGATTGCAGCCCTTAAGGAATTCTAAGGGCCATCACATATATCAGTGCATTTTATTTTTTATTTCTTTGCCTATTCTGCTTACAAAAGTGTTGTATGTTCATGTAAGAAAAATTACTGAAATGTAATATCCACTTGACCAGAGTATTTCTACTAACAGTTTTTTGTATCTTTTTTATGTTAGTACCTATAGATCTTCCTCATTTTTCGAATTGCTTAGTAGTCTAGTCCATTGTATAGATGTACCATCATTTTGGGAACACTCTCCTATTCATAGACAGTGATACTGTGTGCACTATTTTCTGCTATTACAAATGATGCTATAATAAACCTCTTTGTATGTATATTTTTGTGCAGCTTTGTAAATGAGTCTTTACAGGACAAATTGCTAGAAGTGCAATTGTTTCAAAAGGTAATATTTTAATAGGTATTACCAATTTTTACCCCCAAAAGATTCTCGAAATGCATATTTAACAACGGTATTAATTAATTAATAGAAAACTTACCTATGGACTCTAAGAAGTTATTTCCAGGCTTAACTTTAATTAAAGATAAAAGAAGAAGATGAGTTTTATAATTAAGTAGAGAGAAGATTTAGAATATAGAGAAATGTGAGCTGGATGATGATATTATATAGAGTTGTTGCTTACTGAATAACTATGCCTAACAGGGCTCTAGCTTAAAGTAATGTATATAATAACATATAGTAGCTGGGAAAGTTTAGTTAAGGGCCACAGAGTAAGGACTAGGTGGTGTTCTTATCAAGTATATAGATAACAAGGGACTTGGAGGACTAGTTTTTTGGGGAAAGCAAAGGAGTGTTTAGCAATATAGGGTAGAATATTGGCCTTGGAATCAATAGATCTACATTTGAATCCCAGCTCTTTTAGACTTAATAGCTTTGTGGTCTTGGGCAAGTTTATTCATCTCATCCTAAATTACCTCATTTTTCTTATGTGTAAACGGTGAATCACACCTTTTTGTTAGAAGTATCATAAGGATTAAATAAAATGAAAATACAGGCCTGCATGTCATAGAACTCTGGGGGCCATTTGTGTGGAATACAGTGTTTACTTATTTGCCTAATAAGTATTAGCATCCACCAAATTCTCAATAGGATGGACATTTAAATAACCTCAATTGCCT